CATGGAGGAGCAGAAGGCGTGCCGCTCCCAGACGCGCCTCCGCCTCGCCTGAGCGACGGCGAGGGCAGGGCAGAGCTGAGCCCGGCGCCCGTCCACCGCGGCAGCGAGCTCCCCGCGCCCCGCTTGGACGCGGGCTGCCCGCATCAACGCGGGGGGTGCAGCGCGCCTCGGGAGGAGCGGCGCTCCTGCTGGGGCTCGGGAAGAGCAGGCCGGCAGGGCATGCCGCTTGAAAGCCCCAGAGGAGAGAGCCCTGTGAGCGTGTCAGTGTTGCTGTGGCTCTTTGTTAAACTCGAGGTCTTGCTGTCGTCCTCGTCTAGCCAGTGGAAAAGTGGAATAGAAGGTGGTTCATGGTGTCAAAGTTCAAACAGGCTTTTTGACACAATTGTTACTGTGCAGCAGTGTGATCCGTCATCTTATGTGGCCTGCCTTTCTTATTGTATCTCATTCATCTTTGTAATTAAACCTTTAAGATGTATTTGTAATATTAAAGTAGTTCAACCATGCTGAATAAAATAGCTATTTTAATGTATTAGATCTGATACAGTCCTTCACTGAAGGTAAAAATCAGTTATTGGGAAGCATGTCCAGGATGAAGAACCTTCCTGATGCTGGAAGTTGAAACCTGAACTGGTTGAAAATGTTTCTAGTGTAATCCGAAAGAATTCTGGCTGCTGGTTTTTAACCGTGTGCCGCTTCCATTAAAAATGCTACTGCGTTATTGATAGGCTTGAAGCTGGGTACGCTCCCCTACCTTGCAGTTGTCGCTCGTGTACGTGTTGTCAACTCAGTGGACTCCTTACTAGGCTTAGTGTCAGGGCTTAGGGGGTTAGTTTAGTCTCTTGTGCTTTTTCAGGCTGAGGTGATAATAAGGACACTGGTTGGCAATGGTAATTTTTTGGGGACGCGAGCAGCTGTCCACAAACAATGTCAATGAGATCAACTCAAGTCTTGTAGACCATAAAATGGCCATCACATGACACTGACTTTACGAAAGTGACATGTGAGATAACAGTGAACACGCTTATACTGGCACACTCTCACTACTGATCTCTGACGTTTTATAGTCAGAAGTTGGAGACTGATTGTTTCAAAATACTTGAACCTTTAATCTTAGAAAACTTTGTTGCAATTAAAAATAATCACTGGATATCTATCACTTATGTATATATACCATACTACAGTAAATGCTTCCTTTTCGGTTCATGGAAGCCAGATGATACTGTGATCAGTGCCCAACTGTTTAGAGATAAAGCAGCAAGTGACAGGAATTGAATGATACCAGTAAGTGCAGTATGAGTAGAAATATTTGCATTACTGTCAGAGGATAAACACAGGAGTGCTAGGTGTGTTTGAATTCTGGTATGGGCTTGGCTTTTCTCCTGGGGCTTTGATCAGGTGCACAGAAGCGCGTGTGACAGTTTATTGAAGTGCATGCTTCAGTGATTTCTTGAAGAGGTAGGCTTTCCTGAACTGGGACCAAGCCCAGCACATTCTTGTTGCATCTGTTTTTCTTCAGATAAAATAGAAGTCTCACCAGATTTGCTAACATTATAACCTCTCTTAACCTTGTCTTCCTTGAATGGCAGTATAACTGTGAAATGGACAGTGTCTTTCAGCAGTTAAACAGAGGTGGTTTTTTCAGCCTTGTAGCTGAAACAAGCGTAGATAAAATTATATCTATACTAACAAGTCTAGATAAAATAGCTTTCCTTGAAATATGGATACAGTTGTATGAAACAGGATACTTGCATACGGCAACAAACAAACACAAAACAAAAGAAACCGGACAACTAACTCGGGCCGTGTACTATATGTGGTCTCAGATGGAGAAGATAGCTCTCCAGAATGGACTCTGTTCCGAACTTTTGAAAACTGCCTGTGAATCTGCTCAAGGCAGGTACAATGTAACTACGGCAGGCTTCCAGTGTTTCCCTCAAAGCAATGCTTTTCTGTTAACAGGTTTGTTCCCATCTACATGGAAAAAACAGACTATGACCACATCCCCAATTGCAAAAGCTCACAGGGCTTGTGGTCAAAATATTTTTCAAGTAGACTTATTATTTCTTAATGTCAATACTATACTTGTTTTCCATCTTAGGAATTCCTTTTCCACTGCAGCGATTACAGTTTAGACTCTGTATTGTCAGTCATCTTGCTTTGTGCCTGACAGTTTATTGCTTATCAAGGTCAGTATAGCTTATCTCTAATCAGCTGGTGATACTTATTTTCCTCTAAACTCAACGGCAATTTATTAATTGCCTGTCTCCTAATATAGTGACCGCACAAGCTAACTTGGTCGGTCAAGGATTATTATTGCAATTCCTTAGAATCGAAAGTTTTGTTAATTTAAAAGATTACACGTTGATAATTTTGAGGGTTTAAAGTTGGTAGCGACTGCAATTTGCTAGACTGCTTCGGTGGTTAGGAAAAAATGGATCTGTTTGCTATATTACAATACAAGAACTTGATGCTAACTGGGGAAGGTTCCATTCTTAGCCCCTCATTCTTGACTGTTTGTGTCTAGAAGCATGTTCCTGATTGTTAAATTAGAGAGATGACAGAAGATGACCCAGGTTGCTATTTAACTTATATACATAGAACTACTGATAGCAAATAGTGGCATTTTTAACTTCCTGATGCCACCAATCAGAACTTTTGACATTGCGTTTGTATTTTACATCTTACCTGACTTAATCTAGGCAAAACCAGTAATTTAGCAGAACAGATCTATTAACCCCAAAGCATATGTGTTCAATTTTTAGTATAGGTGTTTGTAATTAGAGGAAATTGAGATGGACTCTTAGAATTACAAGCATTTCTTAAAGGTAACTTAAGAAGCTTTAGTTATGAATACGCTGTGTACAAGGTTTTGTATGAGGATATTTTCAGGAGAAGCAAATGTCAAAAGCTGGAGAAGCAATGCAGTTTCTGAAAGGACTTTCAAAATGAAACTGTCTTTTAAGAGATGGAAGGTAGCCAGGGGGATTATAGTAAAGTTCAACTGTGTGTCTCAAAGGGGAACCTTCTCTTCCTGTTTGCGTGTTCTGAAAGGGTGATGCGTTGTAGACCATGCCTGGTTTTACTAGTAAGAAACCCTGTTCTGCAGATTAAATGCATATGTGTCATACATGATATCGAGCTGCCATGAAGCTAACATTTAATGGGAGGCCTTTGTACTTTTCTCTGCTAGTTACTTTTCTGGTGACTAGGAGCTATTCTTAGCTTGTCCTAAGGCAAAACTCCTCCCCAAAAAACAAAACCTTCCTTGCGTTTTGAACAGTTGGTAAGCCCTTACTGAGCTGTTGTTTATCACTCTAAATGTGACATTTTCTGGATTCCTCTAAAACTGATGTGTGTCTCACCTGAATGCTTTGTCTTTTATTTTGGCTGATACGAAACACATCTAAAAGCATTTTCACTGTTGCAGGCACTTGGCTTCCTGTGGTATTCTGATGACCAGAATTTCTCCACTGCAAGTACCTGAAATGAACCATACCTTTTCAAGAACTTTCTTCAACATTACTGCACCACTAGTAAACAAAAGAAAAGAATATTCTGAAAGAAGAATTATAGGGTTTGTATAGACGCGCGGAAAGAGACTTGATATGCTTTTGGGTTTCATGTTTGCTGTGATGAGAAACAACAGCAGTTCAAAGATTAGGCATCTCTGAAGACACGGGCCCCCGTGACTGTGCCCCCAAGTGGAGACTTAAAAGGAGTGTGAATTTCAGAAATTGTAGAGATCAGGCTTTTTTAAAGTCTGAAATTGAGCAGCAAAAATTTATTTTTTAAAAAAAGAAGAATTATTTCTGTGATGAAAAAACATGTGCCCACAGGAAAACATGTTGAAATCCTGTTTGCCTTACAGCCAGTGAAAAAGTTCTGATTACATTAATGAGACCAGAATCTCCCGCATGTCTCTGGTCCACAGTAGTGTTTGTTCATTAGACACAGTGTTTTTTGACATACGTAACAATGCTTTATATGGTAGTCCCTCCCTGAAGTACAACAAATCTTGCATGGTCACTTAAAAGGAGCCTTTATCCAATAGCATTCACCACTTTTCCATTTACTCTATTTTTGTATTAAGGTTTTTATTTGGGTTAAAATAACCAAAGTACTATTGCTCTATTTAAATCTTAGAAAATGCAGTCCTTTAGTTTTGATACACCTTTTACTGGTACCCATGAAGCGTGGATTATTTGCTTTTGTGGAATGTCTAAGATCTACCTAAATGAAGACGCAGCTGTACTGGGAGAAGAACTATTTTTTTCCATTTGAAATCTACACATACCTACCTGATACGGAAGAAAGGAGGAGACATCGGGTTCACTGTTTGCTAATGTCACTGCTGGATGTTGTCCAGTGTTTTGCTTTTTTTGTGCAGAAGCTTTTACTAGTTTATTTTTTTTTTCCTGTTAATTAGCAGATCTACATTTTTAACTTCCAAAAATATTGGCAGTCTTTTCAGGTGACTGTATATTCAGCCTCAAAATTGATGTTGCCTATAGAATTTATACCATCTTTCAACTTTTTTTGTTTTTTAAGCTTAAAGTTAAAACATCTTGTAACTGTAATGTCCATGTTTCTGTTTCCAGATATTCTATGCAGGAAATGTATGAAGTTGTTGCTGTCGTGGAGAATTACAAACTATTTGTTCCTTGGTGTAAAAAGTCAGATATATTATCGAAGCGTTCTGGATACTGCAAAGCACAGTTAGAAATAGGATTCCCTCCTGTAGTAGAGAGGTATACATCGGTTGTTACCCTAGTGAGGCCACATTTAGTTAAGGTAACTTATTTTTTTCATTTTCGTAGCTGTAACTTTCCATAACTTCTGTTTGTAGAAATTGTAGAATACTACATTTTTGTAGTGTTCTGTAGAAATGTAGACGACTACAGGACACTGTCACTTCAAAACAAGATTGATTCTGAAATTGCTTTGTGTGGCTCAAAACTTGTGTAGCTTTTGTTTAAAGACTGCAGGTTAACTGGGGAGAGACTGAACATGCTTTTAAAACATGGGCCGCTAAATAGGTGGAAGAATTTCCTTCTTAATTTGCTTTTGCTGGAGAAGCAAGCAGCTATTAATAAAGATATACTTAGTTACAAGTTTTACTTTTACAATGAAGTTATACTTTAGTTACAAGATTTACTTCTCAATGTATTTTATCCAAGCCTCTTTGGAATACTGTAGCTTCAGATGCTTTAGTAAAATTGATGATAATCTGTCATTACGTTTCTTTGGACATTTCGAACTGCTCTGTACAAGAAGTCTTCAGCGGAGTATCTGCTAAGGAACCTCTTCATCAGTAGATTGATGAGAATATAGAACGGTAGATTGAAAGTCCGTTTTTTAGAATTAATTTGTTCAAAAGAGAAGCAGTTGTACTTCATCTTCTTTCAGCCTTACCGGGGCAATAATTAAAAAATTCAAGGGCGAAATTTTAAACGAGGTCTGGAACTTCAATTACTTGTTTGCTTTATAGGTTTAAAACTGTTTCAGTGAGGAATCCATTCTGAGCTGTTCCTATCAGAACTGCCTCTCCCTCCTTCTGGCAGATCTTGACTATTTTTTGCGCGCATCAAGTCAAACTACAACAACTAATTTCTATTCAAGATAATTGCTTAGATATCCGATTTCACTGTTGTTTTCTAGGCTTCCTCTTAGGAGACACAGCACAAAACAGAAAATGGTTCTCTTAAGTACAGGGGAGACATGAATTGGAAAGGGAATTTGCAAAGTGCTTTTACTCAAGGTACTTATCCTTTCTGGAAGGAAAAAGAAATTTTCTTCCTTTCTTAATTAAGTTGAACAGTTGCAGTGGAAAATCTGCCTTTCACATGCTGACTGCTTTCCCTTTCTACTTTTCCCTGTGACAAGACTGGCTTCTTTTTTTTTTTCCTTCACGTAGCCATCAGATTGGCTTTCCAATTCTTTTCTCTCTAATTAACTCAACAGGGGAGTTCTGCTCTCAAAAAAGACCAAAAAATGGTGAGGGGAACTATTTTTCTTTAAATGTCTGCCTCCTAGACCTACTAGCTTTTTCTCTGGTGGGGTTATCTTCCATACAAGTTTCCTGCTGTTCACATTATAGTCACATAACTGTACAAACATGAGCATAGAGAAGGGACTGCGCGCTTGGGCTGTTTCACTGCCCTCAGGAATTACTCTGGGCATAAGCAGATTGCAGGTGGGCCAGGGTAGCAGGCTACTGGTGGCTACAAATCGGGCATGGTTTTGTTGCTTACAGCACCAGTGCTAGCGCCCTGGAAAGTCAGACTGGTAGCAGCAGCTGTTGCTGCTGAGGATCCTCAAGTGCGGCGTGAGTACCGCTACCTGCGGGGACACAGTGGCATCGTTCCCTTTCGCCCCGCTCCTCTGGCAGCAGCGATGGAAGCAAGCCCAGCACCTCAGGCTTGGTCTGCCCTTCCCTCTATTGCTCCGCTTTCCTGTTGTAGAAATAGCTAGGCACTGCATTGTCATTCCTGGGCAGAAAAAAAATTATTATTTTGGTGCTGCTATATTTAGTCTTTGAGATGGCTCGGCTTATCACTGTGTTCAAACCACAAGCAACACCTGTTCATTGTGGGTAGTCTTGATAAGAGGAGAGCTGGTTGTTTTTTTTTTGTTTTTTGGTTTTGTAAGAAGGCCACTTCTCTTTACAACCACCATGTCAATTGAGATGTAGTATTTGACTCTTGAAAAGTATGTTTTCCAGTCTTTTCCTGTTTAAAAATATAGCCGCACAAAAATACTTATATATGCCAAAAGTAAAAATGAGTGAAAATAAGGACCCTGTAATGAATGAAAACTATGTACTGTGTACACTCTAACTTGTTAAGCTAGGACTGTGCCCAAACGCTCTGAAACACTAATTAAATACAGCTTGCTAGTTACTAAAGCCAAGGTGCAAGTTGATGCTGAACTTTAATACGTAGTTTTTCTTACTTCATGGTAGCTCTTGATGACATTAGTGTCTTGTGACAAAAGATGTCTAGAGTTTGACCTCAGTCAGGTTTGTTTTGATACTAAACACTTCTACAGCTCAATACTACCAGTCTATATATCAGGATATAAAACACTCTATACATGGAATGAGAACCATTTACAAAAGCAGTAAATATCCACATGCTTTGTTAAAAACAGGGCTGTTCAAAATTCTGCTGAGTGTAGCACTAACATAATTTTGGTGTTGTATGCGTCAGGCTTGAGATCCGCTTTATGATTCTCAGCACAGTCTTCCCTCTCTCTCCCTTAAAAGGGATTCAGTTACTTCACCTTAAATGACACTGTATAAAGTGGATCTCAGGCTGGCTGCACTATAAGGGTAATTTTTAATTATGCCATGACCTTCACTGTCCAACAAAATGTGAAGGCAAACTTTAGTAGTACCAGTTTGTCACTTCTATAGGAGCCTAATTGTAGCTTGGCTTTTTAAACTTTTGTAGGCATCCTGCACAGATGGAAGGCTATTTAATCACTTGGAAACAGTGTGGCGTTTCAGCCCCGGCATCCCCGGTTATCCAAGGACGTGCACATTGGATTTTTCAGTAAGTATTATATATAACTAAACCACCACATGCTATAGAAAGGGCGTAGAAAGAGTACCTTCAACTATAGCATTTTGCGTTTGTTTTTCGTGCCTGGTCCTAATGAATTTTGTCCTAAGCATATACTCTCTGAAACAAATTACATTTTAGCCACTAATATCCGACATAATCTTCATATACTTGACCATGTGAAAACTGCTACAGAATCTTTCAGAGACAGCAGTCTTCTACGAGGTATCCACATATAATGAAACGTTCCAGGGACTGGTATCTCCCCAGTGCAATTCCATGCCAAAGTTCTTAGATAAGCACATCTAGAAGGAGAAATACTAAACATACTTGTGGGCTTTGCTGTTTCCTGTAACAACTTTACAACCTAAGTGATCTTGCTGTCAGAAAATAGGTGTTCTCCCATCTTTCCCCCTTAACCCGTTTGGTCTGCAGTTTTGCCAGCTTAATTACCTGACTTCTAATTTTACTGTTTCATGTATCGCTATAGTTCTCCTACTTCCTGCCAAGGAAGTATTTTACCTATGTACTTTATACATAGGTATAAATGACTTTTAGAGATTTAGCGTGATCTCACTGTAGCTCAAAACTACTCCTTTTTTAATCCAGTACCTGATTTACTGTCTGTTACTCCTACAACAGTTGTTTTCCACTGAAGTTACTGCTTTTCTATTTTCTTTAGTTAGTCTTCCGTCACATACCTTTTCTTACCTTTTGTAACTTTGAGAACGGATGTTGCATTCCGCACGTATCTAAGCTGGGGTTCAGAACAGCCTAGACAAAAAAGTACACAGAAACGGGTTGATCCTGCTGCCATCTACTGGGATACTCTGCTTTAAAAGATTATCTCCTGTAAATAGGAAAAACAGCTTTTGGAGTACTTTGTAAGCCAGGATATTGTCCTCCTTGGGTTAGTATTTTTCAACTTATTGCTGTATCACACTTCATACACTTCAACAATAAAAACAAATTGATACATACTTGAGAATGCATTTTTCTCATGGGATTTGCCAGCTATGTTTGGATGTTATTTACTCATAGCAGTTAAATTTTCCCAGGCAAGTTCCTGCTACTGACTAGTATGTAACATAACTTTTAACCTAAACCGTAAATCAGCCGAGGAAAACAGAATTAGGCAACTGTTTAAACCCTGTAACCTAAATACTGAGTTTGGGGGGAAAACATTTTTAAAATTTATTTTACCGAAGCCACCTTTTGACATTTCAGGTTGAGAACTTCAGTTAAAGGCAGTCAAAAATGGACTTAAAAATGGACATTTGCACCTTCTTGGGGAAACACTGTCAATACTTCTTACTGCTCACCCCATTTTGAGGTAACAGAAGCAAATATGGCCAGCTGAGCAGGGGGTTGCCTCGCAAAGGCAGGTACTTAAGGATGCTAACCCTTGCTCAGTTACTGACTTGCTGTTATTACATGGCTTCTTGGTCTCTGCAGACAGAGATGATCAGCATTTCACAACACACTTCTTGAAAACGTATTATACAGTTATTAATACTCATACAGGCGACAACTTTCATTTCAGGAACACTAGTTTCCTTTAGAAAATGTTATTTAAGTTTTGGGTTACATGGGGTCCCACAGGCTACTGTATTGCTATTTTGCCAGCCTGATGCCAAGTGACAGACACGACAGACAGACAGACAGACAGGCGCACATCCAAGCAGTTAAATCACTTCAGTAGTCAATATACATTACTTGCCTGAACAATTCAAGAGAAACCGTATTTGCTTCCTTTAGCATTTGATGTGCTGAATTTTCAAGAATGGCAAAACGTTTAAATCGCCATCCAAAACACATGCTGTAGCAGGTATGTTAAAACTGCAGAACAACCACCTGTATTTTCTTTGCTGGCAATTTTGTAATGATTTCTGGAAGCTATGTATGGCAAAGCCCCTTTCAATACCATAGCTCTAGGGGAATGTTCTGTAACTAGACCAAAGGCCGGCAAAGCACAAAGTATAACGAAAGGCTGTTTGATACAAAAGTGACCTCGCTGCTGTCATCATACTTTCTTTTGTGGGCGGAGGGAGAAAGCAAACTCCCTTCTGCTCCCCTGCCATAACTTTTGACCACAACAGTAGCTTCAGTTTAATCCCAAGGTTCAGTAGCTAGAAGAAAACGTGGAAGTAAATTCTGAGCACAGCAGTAGGAGGCGCACAGGCTTACTACAGAGGGCTTACGGGTACATCTGTACTCCAAAACCGCCCGTCCCTGGGACGGTGAGGAGCGAGCGGGAGGCGTTCAGGTAGATGTGACGCACGCAAGCCTGCAACAAACTTTTACCTTTAGTTATTAAAAAGATGGAAGAGTAGTAACCTTCATCCCTAATTTGTAATTGCTCTTGTTGGAACATACCAAAATAACGTGAATGCTAATGTTGGTATCTAATAGGTCACGCTGTATTTTAGACTTTAGTCAGGGCTGCTTTTAAATTAAATGCCTTTTGGGCTAGGTTCAGCTTACCTGTAAATCTTCATTCGTCTGCTGTTTTATCCACGCAAGGTCATCTCTGAACAATTTCTGTCTCTAAGTGAATTCTGTGAGCAAAATATCTAAATTATCATCACTGACCAGTAGCTTTAAACATCCCAAACTTTTGTACTTAGGTCTAACGATACATCATTTATGAAATAAAATATATTTCGTTTAGATAAATGGGCCGGATTACTTCAGAGGACTGAGTAAACCCATTCTTTTAAGTGAAAAGCTGAGAGGCGTTCCTCTGACCTTTGAGGCTTTTCTTCACATAAAACTGAACTATAGATGAGTATATAGCTATCTGTTCTCCCACAGCTTACTTGCAGACTTAAGTGGAGATTCCTTAATGAAGTTGTCGGTTTGTAACAGCATTTTGCTACCACAGTAGACACATGAAAAACATTTCTTCTCAATTTTCTTGAACAGATTTCTTTTGAGTTTCGTTCACTCCTGCACTCGAAACTTGCTACGCTATTTTTTGATGAAGTGGTAAAGCAGATGGTAGCTGCCTTTGAAAGAAGAGCATCCAAACTCCATGGCCCAGAAACTAGCGTACCGCGGGAGCTAATGCTTCATGAAGTTCATCACACATAAAAGGGAAATTCTAACAGCCTCTACTATGAATTTGTATGTACACTTTATTTATATAAGAGGTACAATGCTCCTTTTGGGGCATCGCTTTGGTATCTGAACTTTGTAATTTACTACTGTACAAAACACGCACATATTCAGCCAGATTGTACATAGAGGAATATTCAAGTTACTATCAAGTGCAATTTAAAGTGTTAGCAGTAACAGACTGATTGACAGCTACTGTAACACAAGATAACTCAAACGGCTGTTTATTAACCTGCCCAACAGTTTGTGTAATCACATCAGATGTTCTGCCTTATCTAAGCTTGTATTTTTACAGTGTTTGTAATATATTAACTCAAGTTTAAGTTATTAGTAGTTTGAATGTAACTTACCAGCACCAACTTAGCCATTTGGGCCAAGTTAGGGGAAATTCTGACATTCTAGCTCTGGAGCGCTAAACACTTTGTTAAAGAACCAAGTAGCAGATGTTTTTGATCCAAATGAACGAGAGGTGACAGAGGTCAGTTCAGAAGTCTCCACGTGCTCTTGAATTCTCATCAGTAATTGCTATAGGGAGGGGGGGAAAAAAAAAAGAGGCAGCCTAAGGCCTAAGTTAAATATAGGGATATAACTTTTGAGAGCAGCACTTCAGCTATATCCAGTTGTTCTTATCTGCCTGGGCACCAGGCACTTGAATTCATAGTGTTTGGCAAGACGAACTCGCCTACTGGCGTTGTTTCACTGTTGCACATAGTAATTTGGGTATGCTAGATGTTCTCTAATATCACAGTTCCCAGTTCTAGTTAAACATAACTTTAAACTCAATTAACAAATATGTTACTTCAGTGAAAACTAGGTCATGGATACACAATAGTCTGTACCAAATTGCTATCCTCTCTGCCTCCTGTGAAGGAAAGAACAAGCTATGCTGCTCTTACTTAGTCTGCAGTAAAGCCAAGGGCAGTTACCCTTAAGTAGCTTGCTACAGCGTGGATCTAAATGTAGTTTCATTGTCAGTGCATTGAGATGGTGCCAGCTGTCTTGATTGAATGGATTTTCAGTAATTTATTCCTTACGTTACTTAAAGTAGTGGGCTAAGTGAATAGATTTCACTCGATGGTAAAATCCTTTCTATACACTGCCTTGAGTTACCCAACTTCTTTACTGGAAGGTGGTGAGTTTTGAAGTCAGGTATGTTTCATGGTTAAAGTTGTTCCTTCTCTCTAGGGCGTCTGTGATCTGCATGGTTACTGCAGAGTACCTGGTAAAGTTCATTTACTGTGTTAAGTAACAGAGGAGGGTAGGTTTCAGGACAAAGACGGCCCTGAAACAGTCTTAAGACAGTTTAGACTGTTTTCCAGAAAGAGCGAGTAAAATTTCAGACGTGTTATCTCTGAAGGACAGTTCTTATTATAGGTAGGGAATTGGGGGAAAGTGACAGCTGGATTAAGAGGTCAGGTCAAAGAAAACAGCAGAGAGCATACAAACCTCATTTTTGAGGGCTAAGCGACACCTAGTGCAAAACAAATTGTACAAAATCCCTCTCAACCTAGCGTCTATTACCAGAAAATTGGAAGACTGAAGTCTCCAGGCAAGGAGGTAACTACATTCTACACAACTGAGCAAAAGAAAGACTGGGTATGGGGGGGGGGGCCCTTCCCCCCCCTTTTTAATAAACTGAAGAACACTTACCTTCTTTCACACCGTCAAGGCACTTTCCCCTCCCACCCCTCTGTAAGGGATTCACCCAGCCTGTTTTAGCATTTCAAACAAGCGGCATGGAAAGGGCAAAATAAAGTCAGTGCACATGCCTTATTTTGATAGCATTGTTTAATATTTCAAAGAAGTGTGGTGTCAGCTTAGCTTAGATATTTCTTACCAAAATTAAAATCATTTCCATTTTGGAGAAACATTCTAGACCAAGGAATGTTTCCTGGAGAGAAATGCCCCATACTTTCCAAGCACAAACGGCAGATTTCTAGCACATCTTCAGAGTATTCTATCAGGTCTCTCCCGTAACTATGGCTTTGTGTACAGATGAATAAGGTGATACATTTCATAACTTTTGAGCAGTTTGTTTTATTACATAAAGGTCACATAATTGTATATTTGTCTACTTTGTACACAATTGTCTAGTCTCACGCACAGTGGCTTCCAAGATCTTCCTAGCGATGGCAAGCACCAATAAATTCTGAAACAGAATGTCAAGTGCCTTAATTAAGTTTCAATCAGAACCTTGGTAGATGGATCTTGCACCCAGTTATCAGGAATGTACAAATGTCTTTATTCAAAAATACAAAATAAATTATCTGTAGGCATGGACAATGACTGTAAACAATTACACGTGTGTTAAATGAAATCCAGTAACTGATGGTTACAGTGATTCTTTTAAACACCAGCCTTACTTCAGTCACTATCCATCCTCCTGCACTGACATCTGAAGTTTTTAAATCAGAACTGTCAGTCTTAACCAGCACAGTTCATGATGCATCAAGATCCCAGGAATTAGAACATGCCACCTCCCATTCCTCCACCCATCCCACCCATCCCTCCCATTGCCGGCTCCTTTTCCTCTTTAGGAACTTCAGTCACTACTGCTTCTGCTGTCGATAAGAGAGAAGCAACGCCTGCAGCATCCATGAGAGCAGTTCTCACAACCTAAAAATGGGAAATAAAGAAAACCCTTAATACTTATTTCCCATCACGTGAGGTGGGAAGAGGGAAAAGAAAGAATTAAGACTGCTTTAAGTTACCTTTGTTGGGTCTATGATTCCTTTTTCCACCATATTCACAAAGTCCCCAAGCATTGCATCATAGCCAACTTCTGACGGACTCTGCATGATTTTTTCAACTATTAATGATCCTTCAACTCCTGCATTCTTTGCGATAGTCACTGCAGGAATTTTCAGTGTTCTCCTAATTATTTCTATGCCTATAAGAAAGAGTATGTTCAGAATTGTGTGTTACATACATTTTTTTCTATTGCCAAGGCATGCATTCACGGGCTAGAGATTAATACAGGAAGAGTCACCTAAGCGAGAACATGAACTTTTTTTAATAGCTCCAGAAAAAAGAAAAAGTTTGTGACTATGTCACGTTTGTCAACAAATCAAATTGCTGAAAGATGCCATGTTTTAGTTTTACTTTAGCAAGTGATAATAAGGAACGTTATTGCGACAGGTTGTTTGGAGCATGGCACAAAGCCTTTTCCATTTGCTTTGCTATGCAATCTCTTAAAAGATTCTGTCTGCAAAGATAGGTCTGTCTGCAAAGTTTCTATTAGTAACTCAGTTCTTTCCTTCAAAAGTTTGCTTTTATTTTTTTTTTCTCCCCGTAAAGCTACTGCTGCTTTATTTTTTATCGGTTCTTTCCAGTCCAAGCTAAGGCCACAATGAAAGCTCCTTCCCACAGAAAGGTGGAGATTGCCATATCAAAGGGATGAGAGATTTTGTTAACATCACATAACTAAGAACTCATTGGAAGCGATCTGTACTTAGCCTTAAAGCCTCACGACAGAAGGAAGTCGATCCCTGACGTTCTTCAACACAAACGTTCAGGTAACTTACTTACCAATTTTCTGATCTTCATTGGCTGGAGTTAAAGCATCTAATGCCGGAATGCAGCGAAGCAACGCACAACCACCGCCTGGAACTATGCCCTCCTCCACAGCAGCACGGGTAGCGTTCAGGGCATCAGTAACTCTGTCTTTCTTCTCGTTCACTTCAACATCACTTGTGCCACCAACCTAGAGTAAGCAAGCCACATCTCAGGATGCACGTGTGGGCCTGTGTAGAAGAGCAGTGTAGACTACAAAACTGCTGCAGCAAAATTAAATAGGAAAGCTGAGTCATGAAATTATTTGCCAAGGCAAACTGGTACTTTTCCATGCTGAAAATGATCTTTTGCACCTCGGCGCTCGAGAAGCCTACACATTAGTTTCAGTTAATTATTTCACCAAGCTCTTACTGCTTAAACGTAGCACTGTAAGCAGCCAAGTTCCTTATCCAAATCAACTGGTAAGATTATGAGAGAGGCAAATAGTAGTAGCTGAGATAAACAATAAAGGACTGATAATCACCCTTTTCATAGCTGACTCTAACAGTAGTCCAGGGGCAAACTGCCTTCTTGGGGTATTGGGCACATATCCACTTCCTAAGCACATGGCAAAGCAGGTTTTTCCTCCCATTTACCCTCAAATCTAAAGGAGAAACAGACTACTTTCCTGATTACTGATAGAGCAAAAGTCAGAGAAGGTACAGCTTCAATATACACACTGCTTGTTCTAAAAGAAAGACCACTATCACCTACGAGCCACTTCCTGTAATGGAAAAGTCTGAGCGACTAAAGAAGGTATTAGTGAAAGACGGAATTTCAATTATTTATTGGTATTGGTATTAACGTTTTACTCTGAATTTCTCACCTTCAATACTGCTACTCCATCAGAGAGTTTGGCCAATCGTTCATTCAGTTTCTCTTTTTCGTAGTCACTGGTAGTAACTTCCAGCTGTTCAATAATTTCTTGAATGCGCTTTTCAATTTGAGCCTTTTCACCTTTTCCCTTTAGAAGCATGGTGTCATCTTTTGTCACAATGACCTCTCCAACTTTACCAAAGTCGTGAGGCTGAATATCTTCTACGTTTAGGGTCAAACCCTCTTCTCCAAACACCTGAAACAAATTACATGACAGGTTAGACTACAGAGCTTCCCCACATACGTATATTTTTATTTATAGATACGTGACAGGCTAACACAGAAAAAGAATCATACCATTGCAGCTACCTTGACAGAAACTCTCCTCTTCCCCTAACACAGTCTAGGCACACAAGTGCCTCACAAAATGGCCCTTACTGAATAGGGAACTGCAAGCTTTTAATCCATGACTGACTACTGTAAGTTACTGATTTAACGTGCCTGAAAAGAAAAAGTTGTTTAACAGGATCGTTCTTGTATTTCGAGTTACATATGTTGGCAATAAACTGACTTTAGAGTTTACTGTTTTTATTACTTTGTGCTTCACTTCGCTTAAGCGGTAAGATCTATTTCAGTAACCAGTTCTGGATCCCAGTATAACGCTGTGATTTTCAAGTGTGTACAAAACAGTAGAGAGGGACACTAAAGAGCACTTTAACTACACTAGCATAAGCCAAAATCGAGTTACAACTATGAAACCTTTGCATCAAGCATGAAGGAAATTATCCAGTATATTCCACACAAAGAATTGCATTTATCATTAGGGCAACTATCAGAGAAAAATCAGCTTTATAAGAAGGCAAATAACCTTTGCTATTTCAGTCTAAGGAATTTCTTTCATGTCCCCGCCCCTTACTAACCCAAATACTACAAAGAAATTCCATGTGTAACTTAAGTCTATCGAAAGGACACGTGTTGCTCGTGGCTGGTCAGAAATGTGTCATACAGTAATTATCGACATCCTTAAAAAAAACAAACAAACAAAGAGGAACTTCAAACATTACCTTTGAAAGAACAAGAAACAGCCTGCAGAGCAATAAATACCTAAAACGTGAAGTTATTTACCTCCTTCAACACCCTTAGCATTTCTTAGAGAAAAAGCAAGTTGGAACAGCGTTACTTACAGCACCACCAGTAGCGATTGCCATATCCTTAAGCTGGTTCTTCCTGTTGTCACCAAAACCTGGTGCTTTTACAGCAACAACCTGAAGACCCACCTTCAGCCTGAGGATAAGAATTCAAACCGCAACATTCCAGACGTGTTCAGAGAAAAAAAATCCGTTCACTAAAACCAATTATTTTAACATAGCTCTAACAAAAAAAACCAAACAAACCTTCGTGACCCAGGCTGCTACTTTTGATCAAAAGGTTAGTTATAAAACCACTAAAATTCTGTCCCGAGATGAAACACAGTATCTGCAATAGTTAGTTTCCTCTTCCTGTTCTCTTACTATTAAAAGCAAGACTACACTCAAATTCTGACACGTGCTTTTGAATGTACTACTTTAAAGGATGAAAATGCAAAAGAAAGCAGTATTTGCTTTTAAAGACTAAAAAAGTCTAAATTTCAAACCTCACCTGTTCAAGACTAGAGTGCTGAGGGCTTCTCCATCCACATCTTCAGCAATAATGACCAAAGGTTTGCGGTGAGCATTGGCAATTTCAAGAGCTGGAACTATGGACTGCACACTAGAGATTTTCTTCTCGCTGATTAAAACATAAGCATCCTGGAATTCACATTTCTGTCCTGTAGAAACAGGAGGTGTCATTTGAACCATCTATTTATAAAAACATATAAAGTATTCTTTAAACCTTCAAGAGCTACTTTGGAGTGACTGTTACAACTGCATTAAAAGAGATACAAGATATCTTCTCCACCACTTACTAGCAATTCTACATTGTTCTAAAGCGCTGCAGGGCCCGCTTGATGTTAGCATGGGCGATGCGCGCACTAAGCAAAGGGAAAGATGAAGCTCCAAGATTTAACCAAGGGTTGTAAAGTTACAGTGGGCTCGGACCCCACTGTCCTATTGCCCTGGTTAAGCGGTGTAACAAATTGCAAAAATCTTTATGATAGGTACTGTTATTTCTAGCCTACAAGAGCCATGATAAGGTACCTGACGTTCATTTCTGTTAACTCACCTTTGGCTGTATTAATAAAATACGGAGAGATGTAGCCTCTGTCAAATTTCATACCTTCAATGATT